GTGTGTGTATATATATATAAAAGTACACAACTTTTGAACCAACACAACAACAATAATAATAAAATAATAACAAAAGACTTTAAATATGAAGAAAATATTATAACCGACAGAAGGTTTTGTGCAAGTTGATGACAGATTTTTGGGAAAATCTATTCAAAATATACATAGAAAGTTTTTCTCCCCAAATTATTTTTTCATATATCATAGATTTGTATGTATTTCATTCAATCTCTCTCAATTTTTGGTATACATTATATTATGGTTATAGTCTACGAAATATTTATTCATTAACTGGTTACCTTACCTACCCACAAACATACATTCACATACATATATGTGCATACATAGACACATATATACATACATGAGCACAAACTTAAATACACACTTTGCACCATGTCATTGAATTTACTTTCACCGTGTTTTTTTTTTCTCTAAAAAAGAATTCAACTTAATGACAAGTCAATTCGTTCAAAAAAAGTAGTCAGTTTCTTTTCTTTTTGTTTTTTTTTCTCTCTCTTTTAGTAACAGACATTGTATTGTGAAGTTTATGAATGAGTGAATATTTGAAATAAACTAAAATAGTGAAATGGCGAAAGTTAATACTTGTATTAATAACATTACTATTACTATTCGTAATTTGGGGGGGGGGTAAAATATATATTAATAAATTATTTCTCTTTATATTTATATATATCGATAAATCCAATAAAAAAAACAAACACGTTTGGACAGTAAAAATAAATCAAAAATTTTTGTTTCAATAAAATTATAAAACAAAAGTTTCCTGGAGTGATTACTTTCTTTCTCTCTTTCCCTCCCTCGCTTCCTACCTCCCTCCCTCTCTCCCTCTTACTCGTTCCTTTTCAAAATGAATATTTTTTCTCTTTTTCCAGAAAATAAGTCAATGAAATTTGAAAATAATTTGATCTACACTTTATATAATTTTCTAGATTGTTTTAATTTTGAGAAGAAAATAAAAACAACAACTTGAAATTGAATATTGAAATAGAAACAATAAAGACAAGCATTCTTCTTAAATATTGAACTTAAAAGAATTAGTGAGGTTATCAGGAACTGATATCTTTTGGTAAGAACAACAAAAAAAGTCTTGTTGTAAACATGAATTCATTGTATAGAGTTCAAGTGGATTAAGGATTGTGTACTTTGAAATGAAACTATTCTATTCAGGTCTCACAACAACAAAAAACTTAGTTACAACTGTTACTCCTCGTGGAGGAGCATAGGCCACCCATCAGCATTTTCCATCCAAATCTGTCCTGAGAAATCCTTGTCAGTGCTTTCCAGTTGTTATTCATCCTTTTCATATCTGCTTCTATTTCTTGACGTAATGTGATCATTGATCTTCCTCTTTTCGGTTTCCTTTCAGGATTCCAAGTTAGGGCTTGCCTCGTGATGCAGTTTGATGATTTCTGTAATGTATATCCTATCCTAATCAATGGTATCAAATGTATTAAATCCTCAATTTTCTCTCTGTAGATTGCATATAACAGGCAAGTTGACACTGTCCTTAAATCCTAACCCTAAACCTTTAATCTTCAAACCAACGTCGACCTAATGGTACTGTTTTACGGATGAACTGATCAGGTAGTTTCCCTTATATTTTGTGTTAAATTCATTTATTCATATGGCTACAGAGGAATTTTACATTACAGCTAATGTCAAGGTGTGGTTAGTACCCTAACTCTTACCCTGAATACCTAACCCTAACTAGAAACAATGCAAAAACGCTTGCAAACCTATTTATGTCTTTATCAAGGTTCGAAAGGACGGACAATCTGTATTCACGAGGACGAGTTTATACGATACTGTTTCTCATTTCTTTTATTGTTTTCTTTTTTGAAGACTATCTAATTATATAATCTTTTTCCTGATTGCCTAAGGGTTGACTGGAAATTCTTTGTGGTTGCTTTAAGCTTTGCTTTAATAGCTGTTTTCATTAATTTCCAAAGTTTCCAGCAATTAATAAGATTATTTTCTGTAAAATTATCTATTTGGTGGTCGAAATATATGTCGAAGTTTAATCACAGCCTTTAACTTGACTAATTCGTAAAATAACCATAAGTAAAGTTGACCCAGTCTAGCCAATCACAAAACAGAAGATAAAAATGAGTAATTAACGCTACGAAATATAGTAATTACAAAGTAATATTGTTGTCAGAGTGGGACTTTTCAGAGATTATAGTAACGGTTGTTTAACTCAGATCGACTTATGAATTCAACCAATAAAATTACTACAATCTTCACAAATCCCCGTTCTGATAATAATCACCATGTATTCACTAACGAGTAGCTTCAAGATGGAATTCCTGGAGTTCTAATGAGAAGCCGTGATTACTGGAGTCCAATCCGTGTTGAGTGTGGGACAGTCATCCACCTCAGACAATGGATGAAATGTTGCGCAAGATCATGGATTGATTGAAGTTAGACATTAAAACCATTGGATGTCGGCTCAGTGGTCTAGAGGATAAACGTTCATGCTCGAGACCGAAGGTCCTAGGTTCGAGTCCTTTGTGTGGGATCGTGGATGCGCGTATCTGAGGAGTCCCATAATAGAACGAAACAGCTGTCTAGTGCTTCCAGTTTTTCAACGGTGTTCTTAGTCCGATTCATGAATTGAAGTGCTAATATTATTGTTCCAGACTACTTATTGATCTTTTAAAATTAGATAAAGAAATTCATCTGTACAACTCCAGACCATCTTCACTTAAGAGCCATAATATAATCGTAAGTAGTTTCCTTAAGTGACTGTAAATGCCCTACACATTTTCAGTGTTTACTCTCGTAGTGAAAACAATTTATATTACGTAGTATAACTGATATAAGACTTCGAAAAGTACAGTCTGTACAGATTATTCTTATACGATTCCCATAAAAGTTACAGTGAATATTTTGGTTTTTAGTACTAAGTACTATTTCTATGAGATTCAACTTTAATAGAGACAAATACCTAATCTCTTTTCATTATTTTGTTGAATTATATTAAAATTAAATGTTACTTCATCTCATACTCTGAATTATCTGACCACCATTTCATGAACACAATCGTAGATGAGTGAAATAATTAAAAATCTGAAGTTTTACAATAAACTTATTACTGAAATTGATAATCGTCTTGACGAATACCATAATTTCAAAAATCGACATCTTCTCCGTGTCCATGAAGTCATTCCGTCGATTTTGATTGATTCGGCATTATAATTAAACTTTACCAAAAAAAGTTTGAGCAAAGCAAGATCAGTATATTCACAAACGAAGAACATCTGGAACTCAAAACAACTTTCAACCAATACCAAATTCAGAACTTTCAATACAAATATCAAGACAGTTCTACTGTATGGAGCGGAAATCTGGAGAACTATAAAAGCCATCATCCAAAAGATACAAGTGTTTATTAACAGCTGTCTACACAAAATACTTCGAATCTGTTGGCCAGAGACAATCAGCAGCAACCTATTGTGGGAGAGAACAGACCAGATCCTAACGTCAGAAGAAATCAAGAAGAAGCGCTGGAAGTGGATAGGACACACGTTGAGGAAAGCACCAAACTGCGTCACAGGGCAAGTCCTCACATGGAATCCTCAAGACTAAAGGAGGAGAGAAAGACCAAAGAACACACTACGTCGAGAAATGGAGACAGACATGAGAAAAATGAACAAGAATTGGATGGAACTAGAAAAGAAGGCTCAGAACAGAGTGGGTTGGAGAATGCTGATCGGCAGTCTATGCTCGATTAGGGTTAACAGGCGTAAGTAAAAAAGGTTGAGGTTGTCTGAAACTTTCTTCATGTTCACCAAATGTGTTATTTCTTCGTTCACTAGGACTTCATGTTAGTGTGTTACATAGACTAGCGAGTATATAACCTAATGATTAGCAGAATTCAAAAAAATCTAACTATTAGAAAGACATTACATCGACTACTACTTAATGACTGATTAATGTAAACAACCGTCCTGCAGGAAGTTAATCAATGTCTGAGGAAAGCTTGATGGTATTTTCCATAACTATAACATTGAGTAATATAAAAAGCATCATTTCTATAGTGATTGTAGATACACCTATCTGACAAGTGCTGACTAGCACGAAGCTTTAACTGATACAAAACTCCACACAAACTTCATTCAATCAATTTTTCAATGTAAATCATATAATCCAAAGTGATTTGTTTGCCTAGTACAGTGCGCATCTAGTTTAATAAGGTGATTTGTTTTCTGTTATTTCATTCTCGATGTTGCACACTCACAAATATACACTAAATCAGTACATATTTACAAGCATATTCTACTGTTTGGTTGGAATAGCATAAATAAAAAAGAACTTCAGAGTGTGCGGCACTCGTATAATGGTTTGAGATTTCTTAAAAGCTCACACCCAAGACCAGAAATAAATGAGAATAGTTTTAAAATAGCTGTTTACCATCCCACGATTTTTGATGCTCCTCTGATTGACATCAGTCTACAATTTTTATAGAAGAAAATAGTTCAAACAAACATCCATGATGATGATGATTATGATGATGTAATACATATATCTAGATGTACGGTACGAAAAAGTTAATGGCTTTCGTCTGCGTCTATCGGCTGTCAATAATTGTGAATGAGTGAAGTAATAATCTATGTCCATAAACTATAATATTTCACGTAGAAATTAATATAGTGTAAGCTTGTGTAAATGGGTATTATAATGTATAGATTTTTAAAAGTTTATCTGTGATATTCTCTGTTGTCTGTGTTGTTGGGGTGCCATTAAAAGTAAGAAGTACTGTGCAGTTATTTTGAATTAGTATGAGACTCAGAAGTATACGACAAAAACCGTTTGATGCTTGAACGCGTTAATTTATAAATTCTCACTGGAAATCGGAGGAGTTAGTCGGTAATAAGCAGCATAGAACCTTGGACATGCGTAAAGGTGTCTGTTTCATCGCAACAGACTTTGGACGATGTGACCCGGTTTCTTCAGCTATTGGTTCTGACAAGAGGATGGATCCTGGCCAGTTACTCTTAACCTACCAACATAGTTTAATTCAGCAGTTAATGACTTCGTACACAGATTCTGAATTTTAGTTTGATCTACCTTAGCTACTTTACAAACTACTACTACACTATTAAATATCACGTTTTTGAGAGAGGTGAATGGTAATCAGGGGTACGAAATATACACTTCAACTACCTTAATCGATAAAGACTCACTGCATTTTTATCATCATCATCATCATCATCATCATCATCATCATCATCATCATCATCATCATCATCATCATCATCATCATCATCATCATCATCATCATCATCATCATCATCATCATCATCATCATCATCATCATCATCATCATCATCATCATCATCATCATCATCATCATCATCATCATCATCATCATCATCATCATCATCATCATCATCATCATCATCATCATCATCATCATCATCATCATCATCATCATCATCATCATCATCATCATCATCATCATCATCATCATCATCATCATCATCATCATCATCATCATCATCATCATCATCATCATCATCATCATCATCATCATCATCATCATCATCATCATCATCATCATCATCATCATCATCATCATCATCATCATCATCATCATCATCATCATCATCATCATCATCATCATCATCATCATCATCATCATCATCATCATCATCATCATCATCATCATCATCATCATCATCATCATCATCATCATCATCATCATCATCATCATCATCATCATCATCATCATCATCATCATCATCATCATCATCATCATCATCATCATCATCATCATCATCATCATCATCATCATCATCATCATCATCATCATCATCATCATCATCATCATCATCATCATCATCATCATCATCATCATCATCATCATCATCATCATCATCATCATCATCATCATCATCATCATCATCATCATCATCATCATCATCATCATCATCATCATCATCATCATCATCATCATCATCATCATCATCATCATCATCATCATCATCATCATCATCATCATCATCATCATCATCATCATCATCATCATCATCATCATCATCATCATCATCATCATCATCATCATCATCATCATCATCATCATCATCATCATCATCATCATCATCATCATCATCATCATCATCATCATCATCATCATCATCATCATCATCATCATCATCATCATCATCATCATCATCATCATCATCATCATCATCATCATCATCATCATCATCATCATCATCATCATCATCATCATCATCATCATCATCATCATCATCATCATCATCATCATAGTTAACATTAAAGAAAAGATAAAGTGATTGGAGTTTACTAATGTATGAGAGGACGATGATGAGTTATTTTCTGTTGAAACTAAAGATAAACCAACTGTTACATTAAAAACAATCTAACCAGTTAGCTTTATTTACCAATATTTCATTATGCCTGATTGTCACATGCATATATAAATTCATGCATACATTCACATTTATACATTTCTCTCTTACTTATTTACTGTGTATATTAATCCATTCTCTTTTCATTTATCCAGCTAACATATATACATATATATATATATATGCAATAGATTTAATTTAATTTTTATGGCCATTATGCAAGAAAACTGGTGAACAAAAGGATATACATATATCAGTTGTGTTTTTGTGTACGTCTGGGAATATGTGTAGACATGGATATAAGATAGAAGAAAATTATCCGAATCGAAGTGATTTCGTAGAGATATTTCCATTCTTATTCTATACTTCAATGTGATTAGTTTTAAATTCTGTTTTTTTGTTTGTTTGTTTGTTTGTTTGTTTTTTCTTTCTTTCTTTCGAAAATGGCGCTCTTTGATAAATAACATTATTCAAATAAAATACTTTATTTCTTTATTCATTGAAATCTGTCATACTTACATATTCATTTATTCATTTATTCATTTATTCATTCATTCATTCACATTCTAAAATACACGCAATTAGAAATGAGAACTCTTGAATAACTGAGCAACAATATGTTGTTGTTTTTTATATAAGAGAAAAGTTTTATAGAGGTGAAGTGTTTTTTTCTTTTTGAAACAATAAAATAGATAAAGAACTTTTAAATAAACCAATATTGAACGGATTATTCACTGTGGTAATGCAATTTTTTATTGATATATCTATTATTTATTTATTTAAACACATAAACATTGGTGTATGGAGGTGCCAAGTAGATATACGCTACATAAATCATTTGATTTATGTAGGGCTAGGATACTGCTCGGGTGCTCAAACTGAAGTAGGTGGTTTTCTTAGGGGGCCACACCTGGAGCCTTTGACTTAAAGGTCTAATCCACTAAGCAGTGGAACAGCCTAAGGAGATGCAGTCCCGTGGTAGCCGGTGACCAATAATTGGTTCATACACCATTTGTTTCCTTAGGATCCTGAAGTCCAGGTGCACCATTGGTTTGGAATCGGGGTTTCCCACCTCCCCTAGGTGGATCCTCCGTATCCACCTACTCGGTTAAAGGGCTGAACATTCGATTTTTTGTCCTCTTAATTTCGTAAACAACACCCGTATCATGAGAACGCATTGAGTAAGACTTCCTTGGGAGTGGTTGTATACACATAGCCATATGAGAGCATTTCGAGAGGAAGAATGCACTCTTCTCACGCTCGGCCGTACCAGGGCATTTGGTGGGCTCCGTGGACTAATGAATAAGTCATCTGACTTTGGATCGGAAGATATATCTATTAAAATAAATCGAATTATCACACACAGAGAGAGTGTGACGAACCGAGTTTCATTCTCTTATGTACTTGACTTGTTTATCTATCTATACTCATGTTTTATTTGGCATGGGACTTGAAAATCGAAATAATTTGTCTGTATTATTTAAAGATGTTAATTTGTATAAGAAAGAATGAAATATTCTTATATTATTTGATTACAATGCTTTCAAGAATAATATTGTGTGTATATATGTGTATGATTTGCTTATGGTTAAGTGTTAATAAAAGCAAGTTTGTAAAGTAGTATAATCAACATACATTTGAGAATAGAACTAATCACTTATTTACTCATTACTTGTAGAACTTTTAAAGGTAAAATATTAAACAATAAAATTCATTGTCAAATCGATTCCATCTAATAACTGTCAAAAGTAACTTGTCTATAAAAATATTTTCTTTAGAAAGTATATTAGTATCAAGTGAAAATAAACTGGTAAGGAACTTACTAAGAAAAAGCCAAAATGTATAGTCATCAATTTGAAAAATAAAAACAGTAATTGTGTGTGGTGTGTTCTACTGATGTTGATAGATATAAGTAGTATGTAACATCGATCAAAAGTGAAATGTCTGGAAGGAGAAGGTTAAGAAGATCAAAGAAAAGAGAAAGAGAACAGTGAATGATTATTGTGGAGATCAAGGAACAGTAAAGTCTGAGACGATTGATTGATATTTGTAAGAGGAACAGTCAAGTTTGAGACAAGTGATTAACATTTTGTTAATTAAGTATTCCCTATATAGTTCTCAGATTTTACCAATAGATTCTGTAATTTTTTGATCAATTACATTCGCTTGTCCCAACTTATGTTCTCGCTCACTGGATCGGAAGTAGACATTAAAAGGATGAATAACAACTGGAAAGGATTGTCCAGGACAGAGTTAGATGGTGAATGTTGGTGAGCGGCCTGTGCTCCTCCAAGATTGCTAACAGGCGTAAGTAAGTAATAGATATAAAGACATGCTACAGTATCCTTAGATTGCTGATCAAGTCAAAACGAGTATCAACCAAGGACAGATTGAGTCGATATTGGTGAGTGCTAAATTTAAAATGTGACTGATCTCTTATTTAGTTGTAGACAAACAATATTTCCGAATATACCAGATAACAAGATATCTAATATTTCAGTCTAGATGGCTCATATCAATATTTATCGATTAAGTTGAGATTTATCTTGATTATCTTTACTGGCTACCGTAGAAATATTCGTTGATTATGTGATTTGTTAGCAGAATTAAATGTACATTATCTTCTTCATACTCTTACTTGAATAATCAACGTGACCCTATTTTAAATCATGTGAGAGGACCCATTTTTAGAAAGCAAAGAAGATAGGCTAGGCCGTTCAAATATACCAGTCCAAAGCTAATTGATTGGTTAAAGAGATTGATGGGTGCTTGTTATCGGTTGAAATCAGGCTCAGTTATCCGAGAAACATATATCTATGTTTATAGATAAATCTGTGCAGGTATTTTAATTCGGATTTCCAAATAAAGTTTCCAATTTGTCCTTTGAAAGTTTACTTAAATAGCTAGTTGAACACACATATTGGAAGTGTGTATATCGGTACCATAATCGGACAACCACCTAACATAACAATAAATCCTTCATATATTTAGCTGATACAAAAAAACTATGCAAATTATCTGTATAACAATATGACTGTAGTTGACTTTCAACCAGAAGATATCGGATACGAACCTGACTTCACATAATTTTGTTGTATATACTGGCTCTTCTGTTAAACGGAATTGAGCTGTACTGTTTGGGTTGTCACGTGAAAGTTTGGATGGTGTCTGGTCCTCCTGAAAACCAATGTAAAATTACTCTGGCCCACAAGGGTATATTTATACAACTATGAAGTTAATTTATAATAGAGCAATATACCATTGTGTAAATGAGCAATGAATATAATTGCTTAAAGCCTATTAAAAATTTAGATCTCATTATGTTATCAGACTATCAAAACAATGTGAAAATATTAGCCCATGACTACTAATTACAAATCTTTAGATAATTTATTAACCGACTTAAAATTCCCATGGGAAACTATTTGGATAATTTAGTATTGATTGGCTCGAAGTGAAAAAAAAATAAATAAATAGTCCAATAAAACTATTCAAATAATGTATCACCATGAATCAATATTTAAAATAGTAAAACGTTTACCTCATCAATTAATAATCTAAAGTGTTTATATCTATTCAACAAACTTCAATGGGATTTCTTATTTCATACTACTTCGAGTCCTTAATGAACTCCGCTTGGAATCCCTCCGGAGGCTACTGCCGGTCCCAAGCTCAGACAAAGGAGGAGGGTCGGGCATGGGGTTAGCGACCCCATCCCGTAGAAAACTAACTCGCTAAAAAAACGCTAACCAGAAAAATATATTCAAACCTTTTAAACTCTACCCTGGGAGTCAGAAGGTCTTCATTTAGAAGAGTTATGACACCACATGGTGAAAACCGAGTTCCTTCGGAAGTTACGAGGCCGATGCACCTTTTGACAACCAGAGTAACCATATATTTAGATACATGGAATGCTCGTACGATGTGGGAGACCGGGAGAGTCTTCCAAATCGCTGCACTGCTAAGAGTCTTTAATGACTAATTTCTAATACAGACAAACAGTCAATAAATAAAGCCAGAGCAAACATTGATACAGAATAATATGAATTCATTATATTTCGTGGTTTCTTGTCAGTTGCTTACAACCACATATGCATTGGAATATATATATGCATGAACGCCTTTCCTACTAATTCAGAAAAGTACATACAGAATTTATCTAGTAGAAAAGTAACTCGAATTGAAACTGAAGCACTCTCCCTTGAATTTAAGTTTCATACTCCGAAAAAATGTAGCAGAATAGACATTGAAACTCAGTTCGAGTATTTATACCAAAATTGTCAGACCTTAAACCCATGAACGATGAAAAACACAGTTGGTTGAAATCGAAATTAGTTGATATTACTAACCAGTATGTGACGATACCAATCCCGCAATCGAAGGTGTTGACTAAGGATCACTAGTTAGCATTAAAAAAAACTTGTGAAAGATGAAACAATATTGCTACTTCGTCCAGATAAGGGTTCCGGTGTAGTCATTCTTAACAGAGATGAATACATTAGCAAAGTAATGTCTATTTTAAATGATTCTACTAAATTTATCATCGATAATATCAAAAAGACTTAACAGAGACGACTGAGAAGCGTCTTTCAAGAAATTGAGAGAACTCTTGAAGAAAAATCTAATAGATAATCATACATACAATGAACTCAAATCAAAAGAATCCCAATTACCATTCATATACGGCCTACCCAAAACACACAAACCCGACATCCCGATAAGACCAATATTATCCATGACTAATTCACCCTTCCATAAACTCGCCCGCTGGTTGACAAAGTGCTTAGGACCAATCCGAAAGAAACTAGCACCCTACAGTCTAAAAGACAGTTTTGAATTTTTACAAAAGCTTGACAACCTAAATGCTTCTGATAAATTCATGGTCACATTTGACATCTC